GGGCTGTGGCCACTCCTTCCACAGAGCTTGAGTCATTCACTCCTTTCCGAATTTAAGCGCCTTTTTTTTTCCTTTGTTTTTGCTTTTTATTTATATTTTTGATGCAACTATCAATATTGGATGTGAAAAGTTGAAATACTTGCCTAATTCCACAGACTAAGGTTGCTTAAAAGAAGAGAGCTGAAATTTCCCTGCGCTTGGAGGGAAATGTGCCTGCTGAACTGGTGCACACTCAGGCACACGCTGGCGTCTGGCTCCTGAATTGCTGCTAGATTTCACCATAGAAGGCAATAGGGAGATGCTGAGCAGTTTGTCAAGAGTTTAGCAATCTCGTTAAAAGGAGGAGGAGGAAACTAAAGGGAGAGAGGGCTTCCAACTTGGAAAATACCTTAGTTTATGGGATTTCTGAAGTGGAATTAACAGATGAGGCTGCAGCAGCTACTGAATTTTAGTCTTTCATTTTTTAGTTTCTTTTGACCCAGTGAAACATTCCTCCCCCTACTCAGGCATGTCACAGATAAGGTGACTTCTCTGTGCTCCAGTGGCATTGGAAGAGTTCTCTGTTTTAACTTAACCCTGTTGAGAGGTATCAAATCAGGTATTCGTAGCTGTCTGTGCCCTGCTGTGAATGTCCTGACTCGTGACTTAAAATTTGACTGGTGGGAGTATTAGCTCATTACAGGGAATGTCTTTCCTTGGATGGGTGTGCCTAGGAAGGGATTTATCTGCACAGAGCAGCAGTGCTGCTGGCAGGCCAAACCACCGACAGCAAAACGAGCCGCGTAGCAGCTCAGGTGTGACCAGGAAAGAAAACTTTGTCCTCAACAGCACTTCTATCCACCTTCTACTCTAGACAACACGGATGTATTAATAGCAACGTAAGCATTTACTTTCATACTTTGCATCAATGCAAACATTTAGTTCCATAGGCTGACTTAAATCCTCGCGCCTAAGCTAGGCTCTTTTAGAACTGGTTTTCCACAGGGTACGTGCGGTTGTGCCACACTCTGAGCTGGGCCCGTGTGTGTGTTTCAATGGGCGTGCTGCATTTTTAATGCTGCTTCGGCTGGCGCTGGCACAGGTCAGTTTGACTTCTTGCCCAGTACTTACATAAGGAGGCAGTGTAAAAAAATGGGTTTCTGAAACTTGAGCCGTATATATTATATTTTGCTGCCCAAAGCTATTATTGATGCATTGAGAGAGTGAACACCACTCTCTAATGCTTAGGAACTAAGTGTAAGCCTGAGGAGAATGCCTTGAACATTAAGGTGCTGTTACGATTCCTTTCTTTTATTAATTTATTTTCAAAGCGTATAGGAAAGAAAGACATGTTTCTGTGAAAAACAGAATCTCTTTTTCTATAAAAGGATATCTTCTGCTAATATAAATCATGGTAAGTCCGAGTGTTTACCCACTGATGGAAACCAAAAGTGGGGAGAAGCATTATTATTTTTCTTCTCCCAGTGCCCTCCTCCCTCTTTCTATTTTCCATTTGGTCAGAAGTTGGGCTGTGGTTACTTTGCATGGATGTCTTAGGTAGTCTGCATATACTAGAGTTTGGAGCTTTTGTATTGCATTTGATGAGTGAAAAAAAACATATAATGGAAAATGCGATTTTTAAAGCCACCAAAATTGGCAGCCAGACTAGAGGCCTAGTGAGTCTCTTTCATATTCTTAAAACTCTTGAAAAAGATTTTGCTTTATCAGTGCCCATTTGGTGGTGATGTTCTGTGCACTTTGGCAGTCTGTGTGTGTTTGTCTCAGTGTCCGAGGTCCCAGTGAACACAACTACGTCCCATTGCACACAAACCGTCACTGGGTTTTTCCAAGCTGCGGGTTCAGTGCGTGCCCCAGTCACCACACGCAGGCTGTTTGCTGGGCTGCAGTCTCTTTTCACAGCTTTCTACCTCTCCATGCAGCTCTTCTCCGTACAACCACATAGATATTGTATAAGAACAAGGATTCTTAGGGAGGAGTTCTCTGTTAAGGTGTAACATCCAATGCAGGCTTTCGTTTTGGGTCAGATACTGCAAAATACCGTGTGTAGAGAGTGCTCAGCACATCCCCAGTGACACTGAGGACAAAACTATATGGTTCAGTTTTCTTTCTCTGATACATTTTCTGTCATGTATCTATTACAAGCCTGTAAGTGATTGAGGGAAGACTTTGGGGCTATTTCTCCAAAGCTTAGACTGCATCTTTCTAGCTTCAAAAAACAAAACAAAAGCACCCCACAGATTCTAAAGATTAGAGACATATTACACAGGTGCAATATTTGTAATAGCACTTTGACGTGTTATAAAAGCAATCCTGCCATAAAAAATTGTTTCCCTTTCAAAAGAGTTCGGTGAAGGAAAAGGACAGGGATGTTAGCTTGTAAAATTTGAAAACTGAACACCTGGAGTTAATTATATTTTTAAATATTTTCAAGCTGAGTCAGAGTTAATGATAAACGGGAACTTTAACAGACTGGCAGGTGATTAGCAGAATTCATCATTATAATGTTTAGCATAATATGCACAGTTGTCTTGATTATTCAGTGACAGCTTGGTAGCAATTTTTCAATTAAAAGGCTATGTCATCTGACAGTTCATTCACTAAATAAGTATCTCTTGCTTAAAATATATGTCATCTGGAAAGTGATACTAACTTTCTTTCATAAGAAGAAAAGATATTAGATTTTTGAAGTTTTACAAAATAGAGCTTGTTAACATGAATTTTATAAGAATGTGGGGAAATGAAATATGATGAGAAAATCTTTGGTAGAGGGGCGAGCTCTGGGACTGCTCTGGATTCTTTGAACTTTGAATTTGTTAGGTATACAAAAAAATAGAGGAATATTGCAGATTTTTTCCCATTATTTCACAGAGTAATTCTGTCACTCGTATATGGGGCTAGCATCGCTGAACTAATGGCCCTCAAATAGTAACTTATCAAAGCTGCTCGGGGATTCTTGCCATTGCTATAAAAAGACATTTGGCAATAAGCACTATGTCACATAAGAAGCACAGCCATTTACTAGAGTATAAATATGCTAACATACTTCACTTGAGATCTCTCGGATGGCATCTGGTTCCTTAGGACTCAAGTAAGTAGATCATATTGAACGTCACAGGTGATTAGTCACCTTGTCATTCTAAATAGGAATAATTTTAAAGCTGTTATTTCTTCAGGTGGGATGATAAATCACTGCATTTGTTCTGTATTTCTGTTGGGCATTTCAGCGGAGATCTCTGAGCTTTTCTTTTAAGTGTGAATAGAGAAGTGACTGATTCTTTCAATGAAGGTTCCTTAGGTAATTTACACCCATTTTGCAGGTAGACAAACAGAGAAACATATATCACTTGGTTCAAGACTCCAAAGACCATTTCTTGACTGGAATTTCCTAGACAAAGCACTAGGCTTTTATATCTATAAATCTTATGAGCTAATGAACATGCTTAATATTCTAGTTCCCCACATCTGTAAGAATTCGGTGTGCCGGGTCCTGGATACTTCTGTCTTCCTCTTGCTTTTTCCCTCAGTGCTGCCCCCTGCTACTCTTGCTTGCAGAAGCAGGTGATGTGCTTGCCCAGGTTGCTTCAGGGCTGCTAACTTACTCTTTGAAAGAAGGAAGTTTTTCCTGCCCTGAACAGAGTCCTGGCTGCCTGTCATCTGCATGTGTGGCATTTCTCCACTTAGGAGTGTGGCAGGGAGAAATCTGGGTCATTAAAATGTGTTATTTTGCCTCTTCTGGAGAGTTACAGACTTCTGGACAGTTTGCACTGGGCAGGACTTTCACTGTCTTGCAAGTGAAAGAGTTGACTATAGTTGTTGTAACTTCACGAGTAGCCTGCTTCCTTGAGGACTGAGGTTAATTAATGTCAAGACCTGTAAGTTGCTTCTGTAATTGGGATAGCCAAATGGTGCACTCGGGTACTATTCACAGTACTGGTTGCGATTACTGGTTGATATTATTACTGGCAAGAAGAAGGCACCTTTCCACTCTATACATGGACCTGTTAATTCTTGGTTCTCTCTCTTAGATCCATGGCTTGCATGTGTTTGATTGCCAGAGACCCATCTATAAGCAGTTGTTGATAACATATATCATCTAGGAATCACAGGTGTCCAGCTATCAGTTGACCAGTCAATTAACACGTGCATGTGTGGGCAGAGCTGGGTCCTCCATGAGCTGTCATGTAGATTGTGACTGAGAATTCATTGTTCCAGAGAGCTGTCTTGAAAGCACGAACTGTTCTAGCTGAAGCAATACAAAGAAACATATTCGTGTTAATTCGTGTTAATGTTCTCCTAGACTTTATCAATTTTGCCTTTTCTTTTCCAGCACTTTCACTGGTGGAACCTGATCTCTCTTTATGCAAATGCTGAGAAATGCTTTTTCACAGAGGAGCGTCTGTAGCCCTTTATTACAGTCGTTATTGGTCCTTTTGGTATAATACGTAGAAAAGAATTCTTCCCTAAACTGATCATATTAAGAAATGGAGAATAGAATTAGTAATGGGAAAAATGACAGTGTAAATCAGTGCATGAGCCTCTATGCAAAGGTTATCACGAAATAAAACTTGAAAGTCTTACTCCAGCATCTTTCTCACCGTTAGGAGGTATAAGAAGAGATAATTGTTATTCTTTGCAGAAATCTGATATTCAAGCTGGCCTGGCTCAAAGATAGCTCTGCCCCTGCTTTGTGTGTCTGAGGTCTGGGTTTGATTCTCGCCTTCTTGCTCTTAAGGATGCAGGGAGAGTGGGAAGTGTTATTAAAAGCCAGGCTGCAGGGGCTGAAGGACGTTGCTCCCAAAGCTGAGAGGGGCTCGTGGAGCCAAGTGGGGACCGGCGCTGAACGGAGCCGCGGGGATTCCAGCGCCACTCGGATCCTCCACGCTGTGTGTGTCCAATAAAGAAAAAATGTTAATAGAATAAATGACACCACAAAGTATTTAAGAACTGTTTCTATGTGGGCTCTGGGAATTTAACCCCCCTTCTTCTCCTTTTCTTTTCAGAAAGAAGACACAGCTCCTCTAGCAAGCCGCCTTTGACTCCTCCTTCCTCTTCAGTATTTTCCCTCATTTCATCTTTCCCTTCAAAAAACAAAGGTAGCAGTGGAAGTGGGAGCAATCGTTCATCCAGTGGAGGTACTAGTGCATCATCATCCAATTCCAAGTTGTTGAAATCACCCAAAGACAAGCTGCAGATCAGTGGAAACAATAGGCTAATGCATCCGGTACAGCATAGCAAAGTTCCCCATGATAAAATGTGAGTATGCATTTTGACAAACAATTAAGTGTTATTACTTGTATAGGGATTATTGTAACATTTAGCATTTCTTTATGGTTTAAAAGATGACATTTTGCAACTCCCCTAGATCTCTTCTAGCTGCCAAATTTAAGATTATGGATATACTAATGGCATTATTGAATGAGAAGTCTTGCAAAGGTGTATCCTGAGTAAGGATAAAGATCATTTCTACTAAAGGGAACTCAGGTCTCTGATCAAATATGTTTACCTTAGTCTTAAGTGTATTTTAGCCTTGATTCCGGTGGGTGGTTTTTTTTTTTTTTTTTTTTTTTTTTGACCTGCACACATTGAAGAACAGTCCTTGCTTCCTGGGACATAACAGGACCGTTTGGTTGCTTTTGTGATATATTGTAACTCTGAATTGAAACTGCAGCTTCTGAAATCCTTGATGACTCCTTGAAATACTTAGGAGGAAGTGGGGAAAAGAGGACATAAGTTTTTGAATATTCTCAAAAAATGTGAAAAAGGATATGAAAAAAAAAAACTGGGAATAGAATGGGCAGGTCAACTAATTAAATCTGTATCGTGAATAGATCAGAGTATTGTGAAGGAATAAAATATATTTTAGGTAGTTCTGATAACTTACAGCTCCATGATACTACAATTCCCTGATTTTTTTTTTTACTCATTTTTCCCATAAATAATAGCATGACTCCATCTGTCAAAGTGGAAAAGATTCATCCAAAGATAGATGGTGCCCAACTGAAAGCTGCTGTTGGTCCAACTTGTTCTACTACTGTGAGTTCCTCAATAAAGACTGGCCTTAATTGTCCCTCAATACCAAAGCCACCCTTGCCTTCCCCTGGACAGATACTGAATGGTAAAGGTCTTCTCTCTGTGCCTCCATTTTTGGAAAAGAAACCTGAAGAAAATACAAATAATAGGAAATTTCTACATAAAAGATTGTCAGGTAATTTTTTAAATATTATTTGCTATATTGCATGTATTGGCATATATAGAAACAGACCTAGTCAAGTCTGAGCTTCCATATAAATGTTTGCAAAGATATAAGCTCCAAAATAAAGCAACTATTAACTGTCATATGATCTTAAATTAAACTTAAACGGTACATGCTAGATTGTTGGAATTTACCTGTTTAATTTGCAGATAGTTTCAGAAAACCTCAGCAACATTTCAAGCTATCTCAGTCTTAGAGGCCTATCAATTCCTACAGTTTTAAAATCACACTCTTCCATCTTAAAGAGTAGTGGAATTAGCTAGGAAAAGATTTTTCTTCTTTTTATCTGAAAGGTCTATAGGTATGTGGAAAACTGAACAACTGACAGTCTGCTCTGTAAACACAGTAACTCGATTACAAACTTTGAAGGGTAGAGAAGCTCAACAGCAACAAACATCAATTGGGACTGTTCATTTTGATGGTGACCTCTTAAATAGGTTCTTGGTTTTGCAAGATGGTGTTTACATTAAAAAGAAATTTAAAAATATCATGCAGGATCTACTTCTGCTTTGGGATCTTGTGCAGCTGTAGGTTTCTCCATTCTGTTTGCAGAAGTGAGACCTGTATTTCAGCATGACACGCTGTGAGAACAGAATGTGTTTGGTTTTCATTCAGTAATTTTATTTGTGCATTTGCATGTGTTGCACTTGAAAAATAGTTTTTGGTTTGGGTAAGTTTTATGATGAAAATAAATCTTGGTGTTCCAAAGTGTCTTTATGACAGGCATTTGTTTTCAATGATGGCATATTTATGTACCTTTTACAGAGAGAGAATTTGATCCTGATATATACTGTGGTGTCATTGATGTGGAAACCAAGAAGCCCTGCACTAGGTCTTTGACATGCAAGGTAGGATATCTTAATCAGAATAACACTGTGATGAAAAGTTTAAATTTAATTTCCTGAATAACATCACACAAAACTGGAAGCTGCTATTTTTTTGCTGTCAGTATTTAGCACTACAAATGGTAACACATCTTGGTAACATCTGGCAACATGCTGCAAAAAAATGAAGAAGGAACTATATTTAAAATTCAATTAACTTGCTTATGAAAAGATATATATTCCTTACAGCAACCCAAAAAGTTTTTTAGTTTTTGCTTTTTACAACGCCTTTAAACAGAATGTTGTCATTGGAAAGATTATAACATTATTCCACATGCAGATAGTGTGAGACCAGCAATGTTGCTATTCTTCTTGGAGAAAACCTGGAGAATTTTTGAAAGTCCGTCATAAGCATTGGAAGTATTATTTGTGTATGTAAGATTTAGATAAAAAAGCTCTCTTGTTTTAAAAAAAAGTCTGTGGTAGATACTGAAAAAGTAGTTATGTAAGTGCTAACCCTGCCTGATGCAGGACTTGAGCTTACTCAGAAATGAGTAATCTGAAGAAGCCACAAAGTATGCCTAGAGGTCCAACTCTAAATTAAACCATCTCTTAAAAACTTTCAATTTGATGAAGAGTGTCTTCTGGCTCAGAGCACCCTTCCTTGGCGGGGAAGGTATCACTTAGCCCAAGGAACCAGAACTCTAAATCCTGAGCAATTGTGTAATATTTAGCTACTTTCCTGCCAAGCAGCTGAACTGTCAGCAGGGGAAGCATCTGGTAAATAAACCACCTGCAGAACAAAGGTAAAAGGAAGCTGGTACTAATGATCCAAAGGAAGTGAACTTGAACGTTCTTCTTGCCCTTTTGGAATTGCAGAGGGAATGGTTGTGCTGACAGGAGGGAGAGCATCAAGTCTCTTCCAAGAGAACTGGCCAACCCCAAAGTTTTAAAGAAATAAATTAAAAGAATTTCTCAGCAATTCCTTGTATTACACCTACTGTTCAAATAATAGATGCAGTCAGTCCAATCAAACTTGCTATGCCATATGAAAACTAAGATACTGTGTATAATTTAGCAATCAAAAAATAACTTGCATCTGCTTTGCATTACCTAGAAATTGTGCCACATGCATCTTGCCCTATACAGCACTTGGAATGTTCAAAGGACTTTGAGTTGTGCCTGACTGGATTCTGCTCTATTTTATGCTGAATGTGTATTTCATTACGTTAACTTTCAAAGAATGTTAGTATATTAGAAGAAAGCAGATAAAGGCTTTTTGAATATTTTGTATGTTGCAGTGTTTTGCATTAGAAGTCTGTTTTTTAAATTTGTGTTAAAAATTTTATGGGCGAAAGTAAATATTAAATATTTTTGTTATGCACTATAAGATAAGGAAAAATGGTTTCAGATACCGTTTTATTACTGGCAATTAAAATACAGATGTGAAAAACTTTGAAACTCTAGTCCTCCAAGAGATTTGGCAGCTTCTTTTAGAAGTTTGAATGGACCTTAAAAGAATTTTCTCAAGCAATTGCTGGTTTTCATTTTTTTTTTTTATCATACAGGGACATTATCATGCACTAAGCAATTTTAAAACTTCTTTTACAAGCCATTTGCCTGCTTATTTACTAAACCGCAAATGTGATGATTTTCTTTGTTCTAGAATTCTAGACATGTGTTTGAGTGTTTAATCTCCACAAATCTAATAGCCTGGGATTAATGATTTATTCCTGGATTTGTAGACACATTCCTTAACCCAGCGGAGGGCTGTACAGGGTCGAAGAAAACGATTTGATGTGTTGTTAGCCGAGCACAAAAGCAAAACCAGGGAAAAGGAGTTTCTTCGACATTCGGATCATCATCAGCAGATGCCCCCTCTCAGGGAACCACATCCCTCACCTACTAAAACTTCCCAGGAGCTGCACCAAAATTCTCATGGAGTTACTCTTACAGAATCAAAGCCTTTATTACCTAATAAACCCAAACCTCACCCGCCCAGTCTTCCAAGGTAAGGAAAATCTGCATTTCTGGTAGGTACAAAGCAAATGCTGATAGTTTCACGGTATGGGTTTTGAAAGAGAGAAGTGGCTCCATTGGAGGGCAGTATTTTTGCTCTGGACCTGGTGACCAGCTACAATGAGTAATTCCATGCAGAGCCATGTCTCATAGCAAAGACAGTGAGATTCCTTAATTAATAAGAAGTGAATTATATCAATGAAGGCAGTTCTGCAACAAGCAGGCAGTACTGCTGTTCTGTGGGCGCAACGCCTCTTTCCTCTCAGTAGATTTGCTGAGAATGGAGAAAACATTGGAAACTTGTTAATGCAAAGTCCCTCTTGTTGGTAATGAAAAAAAAAGTGAGCTTAAATGCTTGCTAAGCTCGTGTTTAACAGTGGCAAAAACCAGTGTTTGCTCAGCTCACAGCTGCCCTGCTTTCCTTGCCAGGCCTCCCGGCTGCCCAGCCCAGCACAGTGGAAATGCCCCGAGCGATTCTCCTTCTGTCCACGAGTCCCCACACCCTCCCTTGCCTGCAGCTGAGCCAGCATCTCGGTTATCCAGCGATGAGGGAGAATGTGACGAAAAGGAAGAGCCCGTTGAAAAACTGGATTGTCATTATTCAGGTCATCATCCTCAGCCAGCCGCTGTACGTTCCGAGTTGAAGTTAACCTTGGTCTCTGACTAGATCCAAATTGGTGAAGAAATGATCCTGGGGGGTTTAAGGGTGTCTTCTGTGGTGTACATGATATTTTTTTCTTTGTGTTTTAAGCAAATAATTGTATTGCCAAATAGACAAGTGAAGGTTTCACTGTACTTGCAAAGTAAAGATGTCATGAAAATACGCTGTGCAGCTCACTTTTGCAATGCTAAAGAAATCAAAATGCCCAAATGCTGAAGGAATTAGAATCGCTATGAAGAGCGATGTGGGGTAGGTGGCAAGGTGGGATTTCCAGAAAATGATCAGTGTAGAATAAGGGTATACAAATAATGTGGTTTTAAGTGACACTTCATCATTAGATTTTCTCTTTTGACATTTTTACTAAGAGATGCCTTCCATCCATGTAGAAGTAACCACCACATGTATTATCATATTTAAATCCTGACAGAAGTTAGCACATATGGTATACGTTTATTTCCAAAAAACAAAATACTGGATTTTTTTCAGCATTTGATACAACTTCTGGATTTCTTTAATTTGTACCACTAGATGACAGACTTGGAATGATTGTGAATTGCATCCTAGTGTGCTAACATTAGAAGTCTTCCATATGAGAGTGGTTGTTATTACTGTTTTCAAATAAATAGTAAGGGCTTGTTAAAAGGAGTTGAACCATAAGGTGCATAAGGTTTTATTTGTTTGTTTAACTCCTTACAAACAGAAAAGCTGACAGCTTCTCAGAGTACTGCTGTCCTTGCCAGTTTAATCAGAGGGATTCAAATTTGACTGCTGCAGTTGATTAGAAATGATACCAGATGGAAAGAAAATAATCCCAATGCAGTATGCTTAAAAATTTTAAATAGCTGTTATAGTATGGAAATAAAAATTCTAGTGTATTTTTTGTTTTATTTTTTAACTATTGCTTTGAGCATATTAAAGCAAATTCATTTAGCTTATTTTTAATAAGCAAGTGAGTTATTATTCAGAGAGTTGTTACTGAAAGTAGATAACACCAGTAAAAACCTGTCTTTTCAGTTTTGCACATTTGGTAGTCGGCAAATTGGAAGAGGTTATTACGTGTTTGATAAGCGGTGGAACCGTATTCGATGTGCACTTAACTTCATGGTGGAGAAGCATCTTAATTCACAGATGTGGAAGTAAGTGGAAATGGAGGCCTTGTTAACCTGGCTGGTATTTGTAGAAATATGTAACTCTGTAGATTTAGTTGCACAAAAGTAACCTTGTGTTCATATTAAACCAAAGGTTGGTAGTCTGTGCTTTACGTTTTTACGCCACAGATAACAGTTAATTCAATGGAATATTTTAGTGGCATTAATCAAACTGAAAATATAGCACTGGAAATATAGTACTATTACGCTTTGTATTATTCTGCAGAATGGTGGCCACCCAGATTTCTTTTTTTCTCTTTCTGCAGGAAAATTCCTCCGGCATCCAGTACCACGACATCCGTTCGTGCCCCGCATCGGACAAACTCAATGCCTGCCTCCCAGTACGGCGTCAGTGCAGCAGGTTTCCTCTTGCCCACCACGGTTATGTCATCGCCAGCACTGGTGTCTCCTTCCTCCGTGTCTCTGAACAGCAAATCGGTACCGTCGCACGGAACTACGCTAAATGCCAATCCTGCTGCTTTGGGTGCAGTGGATCCTGTCTGCAGTATGCAATCAAGACAAGTGTCTTCATCCCCTTCAACACCTACAGTGCTTTCCTCCGTACCTTCACCTATGCCCAGCAAACCTCAGAAATTGAAATCCAGCAAATCTTTTAAACCTAAGGAATCTTCTGCTGGCAGTGGCACCTGTAACAGCACCGGCAGCGCCAGCAGCAGCGGCGGCTCAGGAAAGAAGCGTAAAAACAGTTCCGCACTGCTAGCACCTTCTCATTCCACAGAGTCCTTTAGAAAAAACTGTGTGGTTAACTCTGGAAACTCTGGGACCTCCTACCACCCGTCGGTGACGTCTTCGTCCCACAGCGTTGGCCTCAACTGTATGACTAGTAAAGCTAACTCCGTTAGCCTCAAGCATGACCAATCAGGGAGGGGTCCTCCGACTGGAAGCCCTGCAGAATCCATAAAAAGAATGAGTGTGATGATGAACAGTAGCGATTCCACTCTCTCCTTAGGGCCATTTGTTCATCAGTCCAGTGAGCTGACTGTCAATTCACACAGCAGTTTTTCACATTCGCATCCTTCCCTAGATAAATTAATAGGAAAGAAAAGGAAGTGCTCACCTGGTTCGAGTGGCATAAACAGCAGCAGCAGCAGCAGCAAGTCAAACAAAGTTGCCAAATTGCCATCGGTGAATAATGTTCATGCAAAGCACACTGGTGCAATCCCAGGGACACAAGGACTGATGAACAATTCTCTCCTTCATCAGGTATGAAGTTTTGACTCGGTATCTGCTGGTGGGAATGTCTTTCTCCACACACTTGCATTGATGGTGCTGTCTGAACTGTGAGCTAGCCAATGCCTCGTGCAATTCTTGTAAAAGGTAGTTGCCCCTTCTTCAGTTTGCCCATTACTTATTTTGGGCTTTTTTTGATACTGAGTACACTTTCATAAGATTCTTATGAACACTTTTCTCACATAAAGTATTGGGATGTTTTGTTTGTGTGTTTGTTTTTTCTGTAATTCAAGAAAAAGCATCCCAAGTTCTGCATTTGTTCCTGTGAATCGCTCTCAGATGAAATCCCCTTCACACACTAGAAAATGAAAAACTTCCTTCAAAACAGGGCAATTGAGCTAAATGTTTCAGCCCAATATTTTTTTTTTTTAGTGATAAATATTTTACAAACTGGAATATAATAGTACTGGTTATAAAGGAACTGTGATAAAATAAGCCTATTATCCCAAGGTGTCATTGACTAACTTCTTAGTAATAACGAGATTAAATGTTATAAATAAGATAGAAACCTTTTTTGTCTGTAAAAGATCCACTGCAAAGAAAGCAGATCTCAGGAATTTGTGAGGCCTTGATTTTAGTTAATTTTAAGGAGTGTCTAAACTAGTGTGGAACTAGTGTATTGTTGAAAGTACTAGAGAGGTTAGAATGAGAAATAGTTTAGAAACTTGTATTTCAGAATTATTAACATATTCACATTGATTCAGAGGACCAGTTGGAGGAGCAAAAAGTATTTAATATATTTTTACAGAGAGCATAGACAAGGAAAGTTTTGAGGAGCAACTTTGCAACAGAATTGCAGGTCAGTCACCCTAACTCCATGAGTATTTTGGGACTTGTTTGCCATGTTGGAAAAACTGAGAAATGTTTTGCTGCTTCTGCTATTAAAGCCCTGAATCTTTGTAAGTGAAGAGGTAGGAGGTCAGAAAGATCTTTTTCAGAATGGTTTCTGAATTTTCAGCTTCAGCCATAGAGCAAGACTCTCACTGGTTTTATGTTATGAATATGCTTACTGTAATGAAAAAAAAAGCATTTGTAGGAGGGAACCTTTTTTGACACCTGGTAGTTTTTATTTCAGCTGTGCAACATAAATAAAAATTTGAATGAATTTAGGAAGGAAATATCTATAAAACCATTGTAATGTTAAAGAGCACTCGCTTGGGCCCTGGAAGTGCAGGCCAGCTACATATTAGCAATGACACGTTGTACTTGATGCTAGTCCCCCAAATATGCTCTTGTTGTGCAGCAAATGTCCCTTGGGGAGCCCATGCTGGTAGCCTTGCTCACTCACCTTTCTGTTTGTCTGTTTGGTCAAAAGCCAAAGGCCCGTCCCTGATAGCTGAATACACCATGGTGAGGAAAGAACTGGACAGTTTTCACTACAAGCAAAACCTCCATCTGGAATTCTGAACTCCAAGATGCCTTGAGTTATCCCAGCTTCCCATGGTCCTCAGGTGTGGAAATCTACTGGACTGTCACTCAAGCAAGGAATTTCCCTGAAGCCATGTCTGTAGCAGTGAATATACTAGAAATGGACACTGGATGAAGTTCAGCCACATAATTGCTCTTATCAGTGTTAACGGTGGTCTGGACTGTTTGCTACAAATCTGTGAGATTTTTACTTACAGGAGTACATCATCTTGCCACTATTTGACATAGATTGGCTGGGCAAAAGAATGTTTTCTGGGGGGGGAAAAACCATTACTGTGGACTTATTTTTATACTGATGGTGTCTTTTGTAGGTGGTGGCTCCCAGACAGACACTGTCAATAGAGAGGACCCCTCCACGCAGGGGGAAATGTGTGCGGCACAATGGAAAGAAGCCCTCGAGAAGGGAATATGGCTTTAGTGTTTTTATAGCAATGTTCCTTTAATGGAACATCAAAATAGCACAATTAAAAAAAAAATAAATAGTCTGTGTTTTGCCCAGCCTTTTGCAAGTAATTTGGGATAAGAAGCTATCAGGAGTTTCAAAAAAAAAACCTTAAAAAAAATACACAAAAAACAAAAAGACTTGTTTGAGGCCATTGCTCAGAGAACAAGTATAAAAATAATGTTGTATTTGCATGATACAGAAATTATTTTCTATTATTTTGAATACGATTTGATTGCTGAAGAAAGTAAAAGTTAGTTAATTTTGTTTAAAAGAAATCCAAAAATAGCAAACGGACAAAGGCAAATAACCTCTAAAACTATATGCCCAAAGAACATATTTCTTGACCTATACTGTATACCACGAGCCTTTGTTATTTAAAAAGAGTTATAACTGTATTGGTAAAACTAGGCTGGATTTGCCTTCCAGCCTGTAAAAAAAAAAAAAAAAAAAAAAAAGCCCTTTTTAAAACGGAGTATTTAAAGTATTTAAATATTTTCTAAAAAGAAAAATGAAATAAAACCCAATCATTTTATGCCTTGTTTGTATAACTAGATCATCAGCGTGTTTTGCTTTCACCCGCTCTCAGACAGAGTATTTCCAAGGTCGGGGCTAGGTGGCTGTTTAGCAGCCGAGCCCCACGTTAAATGCAGAGGTTTCGTTGCAGTCATCCTCTCACGGCCGCCCAGGTTTTATGAGCAAAAGGGGCTTTACACAGTTTTATATCAGTCCAGTCAGTTTTTACGAAATCTTTCGTCTTGCTTCAAAACACCTCAAAGATGAATTCCGCTAAAGGGCTCACTGTTACTATAGTTTAATTCATCTGGATGTTTTGGTTACGTTTTTAAACATCAGGTAAAGTCGCAAAACGGACTAGACTTTTACTAAGGGGCAAAGCAAAGGACAACAAATGACTAACAAAGAATATACTTATTTTCTGCCTTAAAGGGGCACCAGCTATTGCTGAGAAGAGACAATCTGAGCCTGACACATTGCTCGCCTTCTCCCCAGTGGCCAACAGTACATCAGGGAATCCAAAGCCACTAAGAGTAGCAGTCACGTAGTTGTTTTACCTGGTCGTGCTTTCGGTTTAACCCGAGCTCGCTACGAAATCATCGTTAGGACAAGCCTCTATGCAGACACTTTAGCTTTGAATCCGTACAAGGGGTCGCGTGCAGAAAGCACCGCGCCTAAGTCCTTTATTATGCAAATGTTATAAAAAAAGGAAAAGAAAACTTTTCAGGAACTAAAAAAATAAATCCTATTTAATAAGATGCCCTGTTGATAGCATTGTTAAAACGATGATTGGTTTAGCTTAAAGGGAAACAAAGTAACATGCGTATTCCACAAAGGAGAATCAAATTCTATGAAATCCTGCATGTTTGGGGTGAAATCCGTGTTCTGATGAAGTCCCTGGGGCAAAATTTCACTCCCAGATAGCTCAAGTCACAAGTGCAATTCGACTCTTGAGACACAGAAATGCAAAGGCAGCAGAAGAGATGAGAACCAGCGCTGGTGAGTTTGTGATCAAACTCTCTTATGTTTTAAGGTTCCGTTGAGCTGAAAGCATAATGGCAAATCCAGGCTCCCTCAGGAGCGTGCAGACGTTTGGAAAAAGGTGATCCTCAATCGCTGTGCTCACCTAGAGCCCGTTCCTAAAGATAGTTGTGTAGGGTTAAGCCATCGGGAGTCCAAAACTAGAACATCATCAACTCCGTCTGCCCTTGAGCATAGACCTGCTTAAATATTATGTTTTAGATCTTGGTTATAAGCCGAACGTTGTTCCTGAAGCTTTTATTGTCACGTAGATCTTACTGTAAATAATTAAGGAAGCTTAAAATTAATTTTCCTTGCAAAATTGAATTTGCAGTGGCTGGGTTGTTTCTAGACAGATTTTGGTATTAATTTAAGAGATACAGTTTTTATAGTCTTTCCAACTTCTCGTTATGACTCCTGCAGTTTTCTTAACCTAAAAAATTGCTGCAATGATGAACAAAGAATTATACAAGAAAAAGACATACTTTTGTATCTTTATTTTGGAATTTCTTGTTCTATTATAAATATTGAAGTATCCCTATTTCAGAAGACATATTTTGTTAATTGATTGTACATATTTAAATATGTATTTTTGCACAGGTCTTTTTTTCTTATATCCAGTTTTGGTACAATTGAGATCATCTAGTATTTATTTATTAATTAATTAAAAAAAAAAAAAGAGCAAATACCTTTTTATAATTTGAAGTGGTTCACTGCCAAGCCAATAGTAACATGCCTACTTTGCAACTTAAGGGATGCCTCTGTTTCGGGAAAGCCGTGTCCCTTCCCACGTCTTGGGATGGATCCGCAGGAGCGGCCGAGCGATCCGGCTGCAGGATCCCAGGCCAAATGCTCCAAATGGCATTTTGCTTATCGGTTGCCTGATTCCCAGAAGACTACATTTAGTTAAGTGACACACTGCTTCTCTCTCTCTCTCTCTCTTTTTTTGTTTTTCTTTCCTTTTTTTCCTCTTTTTTTCTTTAATGTGTTTGTGTGCGTGTGTGTGTGTGTGCGTGCGCCTTTGTGTGGGTCTCATGTGGTTTAAAACTAATGGAAAAACTGAAAGTGCCTGATATAACTAGTTTTAAGCTTGGACTGTTTAGACAGCTTCTCCTTAAAAGACTTGAATGTTCAGTTGAAATTTTGGAGCTTGCTTTTTCCATCTATCTATATATACACACGTATTTATATACCTGTGTATATATATACATACACACACACACACACACACACACACACACAAATTTTAATGAGATGGGTTGACAAAAGAAAATGAATGATGCTGGTAACCTTTGTAAAATGTTTTACTTAGAATACTTTGTGTTGAAACAATCCCATTAATAATGCATCTGCAAATAGCGCCAAGGGTCTCCAATGTGGTTTCGACCAGCAGTTTGCTTAACTGCCTCATTTTGGGGAGGGTAAGGGGAGTTATTCATTTGTAAATGAAATAATTTAGAAAATGTTCAAAATATCTCATATTCCAGGAAAAAAACAAAACAAAAATTACCCACAGGTACCTCTTAAAACCATTAAAACTAATTTCCAAATGACATTTCTAAGGCAGTTGTCTTCCTGTAAGAGTTCTCTTGCCAAGGAATCTCTCTCTCATCTTTCTCTCATTCTGTCCTGGAGGAGGGAATTGGGCTTGAAAAGATTCTTAATGTTTCGCTGTTCAGCCGAAAATAATCATTTTTACATTTTGTGCAAGGCATTTTACGTTTTAAAGATAATTTTAAAATGAGCACTACATAATGTCAATGTGAATGTAGGCCTTGAAAGCATCTTGCTCGGTATTGAGCCTGGTTCTAAAAGCAATCTCCTGTGTAAAATGTGTGAATAGTTTGATAATTTGTATACATAATCAAGAGCATCTGATCAGCTGAACTCTGTGTTGGCTGCTGTATAGTACATGAACAAATGTCATGGGATAGAAAAATTACTTTGGATATTTAAAAGAAAAATAAATATATAGTCTATTTGTTTTGTAACAAGTTTCTGTAAATAAAATAATTTATACTATTTATAAGAAAAAGTTGTGCTTTGCTTCATGAAAAAGATTAGTTTGTTGAACAAACATGTTACTAAACAAGGCAATAAAATTAGGACTTTTCAATAAATGAGGTTGGTTGCATGGAATACATTATATGTTTCTGCTTCATTATAAAATCATTCACCATTAAAGGAAAGCATTCGCTATATTGGTGCCTATGTGAACTAATTTCAGATAACTGGATGTGGTCAAATTCACTTTACTTCAGCATTACATGAGATATGGATACTATAGGAGTAAGTAAGTCTGGTAAGATTGGGGCTTCACGCACTACAAGGCATTTTGGATTAAGACCTTTTTTTTTTTCCCATGAGAAAATCCATATTTTGACTGTAAAAATACATTGTGTGACTTGAACAGGTTGAAGAGTCTCACAGGTCTTTCCCGACGGTGACTCGGGCAGTCCTGTGTGGCACGTGGCTCCGGAGCAGCTATATGTAGAGCTGGAAAAGCTGCTAGTGGAGTTAAGATGGAGTTAAGTTAAACGATTCCAGTTTTTCACTCTTGTAACCGAAAGGAAACCAACTTTTCTGTAGAAAGTAACATTTGGAATCACTGCTGCAAGATGCAAGTGACAGCAGGCAGCAAGCACGCTCTCATTTGTCTTTCCATATTCTGAATTTATGTTAACTTCTGTGTTGTGTAAAGATTTTTTTCACTTTCCTGCAAACTTTTTTTTTTCTTTTCTAGTAGGAAATTTCAGGTTTCTGCTCCGTGCTGGGTGCTGTTGGCACTGAAGCGGTGCTGTGGGGCTCTGCAGTGACCGCAGCACGAGATGTGTGGGACCTCGGACCGCACTGCTGAGCTCTGCTCTTGCGTCATCCGCAAATTCAGGCAAGTTTGTAGCTCTGCTACCTGCATCCTGTTCAAAAGTGAAGGATCTGCTCTGTGTTTAGCTGCATCTGAAGTAGAATTATGTATCCTCCTAAAACTGGCATGTAAAGAAAGAGGTTGCTTGTATTTTCTGGATCTCTGAGTTCTTTACCTCAAAGCTCTAACTGGGCAGAGCATCCTTCATCATCTGGTGCTCACCAGGGTTGCAGTAGGTGCTGCTATGAGGGGCTGCCCAGGGCACGCTGCCCGAGCGGGAGCGCGTCCTCCGTGCATTGCTATTTTTCCCAGCCACTCTGCGAGTTTGGTAGGTTTGTTCTGAAAAACACTTTCTGACCAAGTGTTGGAATCTATCCAGTGAACACCCACTTTCCTTAGGTGAGTGAAAAGTATCTTCTGCCACTGATTGTTTTGTGAGAAAATACCATTTTATTATTTAGGAATGGTTGTTCACTGATAGAGACATTTGAGCCCAATGGGTAATGCAGGCAAAATGCAAAGCTGAATGTTAAAGGTTCTGTGTGCTTAAGTCTGCGTGCACCTTTTAGGCAGCGTTTTATGTATTTGCCCTCTGCATTTAGAGTGCCATGTGGTGCTGTGTCCCTCCAGCCTGAAGATGTCATCCTTCTCCGTGCAGGAGATGGTCCGGGCTCTAAGGCTGCTCCAGCAAAAAAAGAAAAGCTGGATGCTGGGCCTGCTGCATGTGCAGCTCTGGAGCAGAGTGGGTGCAAACCTGGCCCTGTGCCCACGTGCAGAGCAGCAGCAAATTGCACCCGTGGGAGCTGCACCCCAGCAGAGCGCCCAGCTCCCTTATTGAAGTGCAAATTTTCATCAGGTCCTTCCTTATTGCCATGTTCTGCCGCAATAAATAATAAACACACGTGGCTGCTACGCTGCAGCATGGGGGCTCTGCCTTGGACTGAGTGCTTTTCGTGGCGCTTTGGCTCCC